CCCTCCCGCCGCGGCCGCCGGTCGGCCTCAGCGCCTGCCCCGGACTGACCGCGACCCCCGCCGGCCTCCGCTTCCATGAGGAGGGCCGGGAGTGGGGGCTGAGCATCGGCCCGGGAGCCGCTTTGGCGGAGCGAGCACCTGGCGCCGAGTCGGAAGCCCGCAGCTGCAGCACGTCCCCTACAGGCCTTCGGGCCTGGGAAGCCCGCGTTCGGGAGCGTGGGGCGTTTGCACCTGTCACCTTTCCGACGCAGCCTTTCCCCCAGGGCTGCATTTCGCCTCCCTCGCCTGGTAAAATAAAGGCAGCCCCTTTGCCGACGCGATCTCCCTCCCACTGCCCTACTGCCAAGTTAGGAAGAGTCCTGGAGTTGGTGGGCCGCGAGAGCAGCAGGAGAGTTCCCTCCGCCCCTCATCTCCCGGGAGCCCTGTCCGGGAGCCCGGTCCGTCCAGCTTCCCGGGCCTGACCTGAGCCTGCTTCTCAGAAATAGTCCCCTACTGTACCCGCGTTTTGCTCTCCGCGCGCATAAGACCAAGTGTTGATTTTTCAGCAACCTTTGTGCAGCGTTGTGGTTACATTTCACTCTTGCTCTCTTTCCGACCTTCCTCCGGGCTTGTAGAACCCTCACACAGTTGGATACTGTCCAGCTTGTCAATAAGCTTCACTAGAAATGTCCTCTTTGTTGCCTTTTTATGTTTCCGTATATCTACTTTAATGAATCAAAGGCTCTTGGACGGCTGCTTGAGTATTATGTCTGGAGGCAGAACTCTATCTCATTAGAGATCATTAAACAGACTGTTTTATAGGCTTGGGTATTAAGAGGCTTAGTAAAGTCATGTTAGCATATTGTCACAGAGAAATTGTTATTTTTTATAGTTACTATTTAATACTGGTTTATAATTGTTGGTTAATAGTTGAGCCAAGTAAACTCCCTGAGTTTCACCATTTCGCTCTTTAGCATTAGAACCAACTTGTATTTATTTACTACATGCTGGTTGATAAGTATGTTCTTGGCTTTCTGCCAGGGTCCTCTCATTTAATTCTCATACCCATTCTAATAGTTTCGTTTTTCAGCTGCAAAGGGTGACACTGGAAAGTGTCAGAAAGTGATCAAATTGGTCTTGGGTGACTAATCTCTTTGGGTCTTAGTTTCCTGATCTGTAGAAGCAAGAGAATAACAGTATGGACTTCAGAGGATTGTTGTGGAAATGACAGGACTCACATGTACATGTGAGGCACTGAAAATAGTGCCTGGCATAAAGGTGGCTGTCATTAAGTGTGAGCTCTTATTACGGCCCCTTAAGAGGCATGGAATGCTGTGGCCACTGAAGACCCTTGACACCTGTGTGAGAAGTCAATCTTCTAGATGAGGTTGGAGCTATATCCAACCTCATCTGTTGAGAACTAGGGCAAGTCCTAAGGGGTCCACAGCCCGTGGTTCAGAGGAGGGAATGATGACAGGGACTTTGAGGGGAGAGACAAAGTTTTTGGCAGCTGGGTTTAGGTTTTGGAGGGGAAAAGGGAATAATAGGTAGGGGAAAGAATGCCAGCCCTTAAGGAATTTTGGAATTTATCCTTTGGGGAGCTGTTAGTTGAACCTTGGAGAGACGTAATCAGAACCTTGACATGCCTAAGTTGCTGTGATGGTAGGTGGCAGGGAGTTGGAGAAATACAAGATACAACTAATATTAGTCCCGGCTCAAAGATGAGTGGAGAGGCAGGATTTAGCAAGAGTGGCCATGCTCATGGCAGCTTTTACATGCTCTTCTTCTGACCTATAAAGCAGGCAACAGTGACTCCATTTCCCAGAGAAGAAACTAGAAGGCCATCTTCAATATTTGCTCATCATAGAACTATCAGGTTACAGCACAGGCGTGCATCCCACATCGCCTGCCTGTCAGAAGTTCTCTTCTGTTCCCGCAGCTGGATTAGAACTAACTCATCTGTTTTGTTTGAGCAGCTGCTTGTGGGGATTAACCTTTTAGTCAACCTGTGGTTTCAAAGCGCTTGAGGCAGCTTTGGAGGTTTCCAACAAACCATTCATTAAAAAAGCTATCCTTGATATGACTCCTTTTCTGCTAGTCTTAAAGGCCTGTCAGTTGTTGTGACTGGCAGCTAGGCATAAATGATCTCTCAGCTTTTTGCAGTTCAGCAAAGTCAGCAGTCTTTTTTTAATCTAATGTATAGAGCTTGGTAGGTAAATTGTTCATCAGTGAGTCAGGCTGCTGGAGTTTGAATCATCTCTACCACCTCTTCCCACAGTCCCTGATACCAGCCCTTTGGTTCACCTGGACACAGCACTTAGACATGATTACACATCAGTATAGAAATGGTGGTGTCTGTGGCAAATGCAGATATACCTTAGTTCCCCCCCACCCCAGGTGCCAGGTAGACTAAGGGACCATGAAGCTCTTCAGCAGCCATGATCTTCAGGATCCTCGCACACCCAGGATCCTTGCACACTCACTGGCTTTGGCTCCCTTGTCTTGATTCCAAGTGCCACCAGGGTTCCTCAGTTTCAGCACTAGATTTTTAAGACCTGATACTAATTTATTGTGGGAGCTGTCCTGTGCATTGTAAGATATTTGGCACAACTGAGTTATGACAACCAGAAGTGCCTCCAGATTTTGCCAAATGTTCTCAGGGGGCAGACTTGCACCCCTGATTGAGAAGCTGGTGTAGACTCATGCTCCATGAGTGGTAGGAAAGGTGACTTCTCCCTGCCTCAGTAGGAAACGCTCTCTAACCAAGTTTATTGACTGTAGAGATTGACCTTCCAGTTTCCAGCAGGAACCACTGAGATCCTGAGGTGCTGTTTACCAACGAGGCAAACAGGATCAAATAGTCCAGTTAGCAGAAGGGACTTGAAAGCTCGAACATCATTTAGACGGCTTCAGAAGTTCCCCTGCGGTGAAAGAGGCCCTTGCTGAGGGTTAGAAAGAAGGCTTGAGAAGGAAGAAATGTAAGAAATGACCTTGAACTGTAAGAAAGGACTCCACACTTTCTAAACGTGTGGCTTTGTGAGTGGCCAAGATGGAGGCATCTGGGGGAAACATGGTTTGAGGAACCAACAGCAAATGATTCATTCTGGTTTAGACCTTTGAAAGTATCTGTAAAACTTAGACCTAAAAGAGTTTGAGGGATAGGGCAGTCACAGGTGAGAGCTGTATCTGGCCGGAAGTGGATCTGGAAACTGGAAATTGACAGAATTATCAGAGCTAGGGATATAGATGCTAACCAAAGTCACCAGCCAGGCAAAGCAAGTGGACAGTGAGTGTGGGACTTTGGACAATCCTAATATGTGGCTTTCTACCCGTTACGTGGTATTGCTTTATTCGAATTGGCACTCCAGCAGGAAAGGCGATTTAAATCCTGCCTTTCAGCAAAAGTGGAAACCAACTTTGTGCCACATGTAATACACAACCCAGGGAGAACAGAGGCTGCGTGCTCTGAGAAGGTGAGACAAGGCAGAGCGAGTAACCAGGCCCAGTGTCAGAGGAAACTAGGAATGCACAGAGGGGGAATGTGTGAAATGTAACTTAAATCTTTGAAAAAAAGTAAGTTAATGGCTCAATGGGTTAGGGTGCAGCACTGCAAGTGAGTCGCAGCTACTTCAGCATGAGTTCGATCCCTGCCCTGGAGGTGACCCACATGACGCAGCAGGCCTCTCCTGTCTCCCTGCTGCTCCCCTCAGCAGTGAATTCAACAGATCCACCTACTCTGCTCCCCACTCGGTTTCTGGTGAATCCTCCTCACCTTCTGCACCTCTGGCCTGTACCTCAGTTCTGTATGCATAAATAGATACTTTTCAAAAAAATTTTTTAAAAAGTAAGTTCATTCACAGTCCTATTTTTTAAGATTTCTTTGGAAATATCAAAAACCAGAGGGACTTCTGATTTTGATTTTGATAAATCTTTTTCTTTTGATAAAGAGAATCATACTCATTTTGATAAAGAGAATCATACTCATTCGGCCAAGGTCACACAGGAGACAAGCAGGTTTCCTTTACGCTGTTGCCCTGACACTGTACCCGTCTTGGCTTATTTAGGCCTGTCCTGAGGCACTCTCCATTATTTTTCTAAAAAGTGGAAGTATTGCAATGATCTACTAGACACTGGAATGAAGAGTAGAAGGAAAAGGTGGTATTTCAAGTAGTTTTGGAGAACACCTGGAACAGAAGTCACTGATTATGGTGAGAACAAGCAGAGGTTAGAGAGATTCTGGTGGAGAAGTTTTGGGTGGGGGATGTAAAAGCTGAAAGAGCATCAACTTAAAATCTAAAACGAGATACGTATTCAGATTTTAAATGACTGCCCTGGATTTAGTCGGTAAAATGTCTGGCTGGAGGTAGACTGGGAATTCCTGAGCTAAAGGAAGAAGACAATGCACATTGCATAGTTTACTAAGGAATATAATATTGCCGAAGGATAAAACAGCATTCACGAGCAAATCCTCACTGGCCCCCACCCCTTCTCTCACGTGGCGTGATGAAACCTGGCTGCTGTGGCAAGACATAGCCTCCACCTACCACAGAGGCTAAGGTGGGGGAAGAATGTGGCCGGTGTGCTGCCAGTAACTGGCTGGTTACATAATCCGGCCAGATCCACGCCAATTTCAAATTGTGTGCTAAATAATATCCTGCAAAATGACTTGTGTGCCGCACTGGTCCCTCATGAAAACAGCGTCTGTGTTGACTTGGCGGATTAACCTGAAGCAGTTACAGCAGTAAGTGTCATTAGGCTTGGCGCACTTGGCCTTGTATTTCTTGTCCAGACGTGGCAGGGTCACCTCCCCTCTGCTGCTGGAGCTTGTTGGAAAACCAACCGATACGTCTTAAACAACTGCTAAAATTTATTTGGCATAAGT